CGTCGAAATCATCGGTTACTTGATAGATTGGCGCGACACAGGCCTAACTCCTAGGCTGCCTAGGTATGTGTTGTTTTTCCTGATTAAAATAATTGCCTTCAAAAATGGCAGCCGTATATAGTCTCCTTGCAAGGGCATAATTTAGCAAATTGGCTTTATTTGACAGGATTCTCTCCGGGCCATGCCTTTCCACAATCTGGATTCACCTGTATAACTTCAAATGATTTAACAGTTCGCTCCTCACCTGGCTCGCAAATTATGTGATCCTGTTCTCGAGCTTGAGATGAAACGTAGGGAAGGGGCTGGTGTTATGATGACGATATTTGCAAAATATTTGGCTGTGATAGTACCGCTGTCGTCATGGTTATACAAGCGGTCAGCGAAACATTAATAAAGGGTTTTTTAACCCACCCAACGTCATCACTATCCCTTCTATATTAGGCTTGGACATGTGATGCAGAACAACGCTTAGACAATTACATGTGTCCACTTTTTTCTCTTGACAGTACTTACTCGATCTAATACCACAAGAACTCCAGACAAGAGCGAAACAATACTACTAACCGGTTGTCAGTACTATTTAAATAGCGACAAATTTTACGCCCAATTTTTAAACGTGTCCCCTGTTGGCCCTTCACAGTAGGAACTCGACAAGTGAGACAAGAGTTATTCGTAGAAACACTGCTACTTAATATTTGCCAATATATTTTTGATAGCAACAATTCTACGCGTTCGTGTACAGATTTAGAGGACGCATGGGCATGCAATTAATAGGGTTTTCAAAGGTATTGACCATCGTCCTCACCAAATAGACTGAGATAGGGATCAAAGGGGATGCAGCAATACGGCGGCAGAGGAGAGAAAATAAAATAAATATACCAAACAAAACCCGGAAATAGTACATAAAAATATTTAGCAACTAAATAACGCGTGGTAATTGAAAGAGAAATGACATATAAGGACAAATCACAAAATCATAATAATCAGTAAAACCGTAAATCATAAGTAAAATAGAATCAAAATAACCACCGTTCCCGCGCTGCTGAATTATGTGGGCTTGGTTTTCACAGTGAGCCGTATAGTAGACTATTACCAATCGTTATACTAGAGCAAAAAGTTGGCACATATAACAAAGCCGTAGTGACTGAGACGGATAAAAACCTGATATTATCATAACTAAGGTACCAATATGGTAATATATTAATCCTTTCAAATCGGAGCAGAATTATAACATTTTAAAAATGTTATCGGGCAAAAGTATTTTAAGTAAAGCACATCATATATCCCTATTCCCAGTATTTTGTCCTACGGACACGGAGGCAATAACAGATTTTTGGGATGGGTTAATACGACAGAACAGGAAGATGATTTGTAGAAAAAAGTGGAAAGATGTAGTTGAATTTTTTTCCCGCGGCCGCTGAGAGTAAATCGTTCCGCATTTAAATTGAGGGTGTGCGTGGC